CATTGACTGTGACAGGTCGTATATCTGATTTCGCAAAGTAAATTGGGAAATCATATCTCTGTGGTCCCATCTGGGATTATTTATTTCACTGTGTCCATAGCCAGTTAGAGTTGTCAAACTGTATGTATGACACTGTTGCTATCCACAGGTTTGAGGTCATTTCTAAAGAAACCAGAGCCACAGTTAGCCACAGCAAAGCCCTTTTACCAAGGTGCCCAGCAGTGCCCAACAGCCAATCACAACATGGATTTTTGAAACCAGGCAGTTTAAGCTTCTACTGCTGTTGCTGCTGCTGGTGGTCTCCTAGGTCCACTTTATGAGGCTTTAGGGTGGGTTGCCTTAGAGGCCCCTTGAGCAAGTGGAGGCCTTTCAGGGCCAATGTGGAGATGCCCACTGGCCTTAGGTGGTAAAGACAAGGGTAGCTGAGCCGCCTGACCCAGGGGCCATTCTAGTGGAATGAGCTCAAGAGATTGTACAAGGAGTGGGGGCCAATCTGACACAGGCTTGCCTTCTTTGAAAATTATTTATTTGTGTTTGGATGTTCAGGTGTTTGGAGAAAGTGCCAACTCACTCTTATAAAGCAAAGACCCCTGCCTCTCTTCCTTCAGCTGGTAGGCTCAAATAGTGCCAAGGCAGGAAGGTGTGTGTGTGTGTGTGTGTGTGTGTGTGTGTGTGTGTGTGTGTGTGTTTGAAAGGAGCCAGAAGCGAGGGAGGACACACTCCACCTTCATTCACATGGGTTAGCAGTGAAAGACCAACTCCACAGCTTACAACAGAGCACCATAACAGCTTAAAAAAAAAAATCACTGGAAAGGATGGTGTTTTGTGACTTGTCAGTTTTCAAGCCCTTCTTAGGGACTTGTTTCCTTACCTCAGAAATCCTGAGTCAAGAAAGTCCCTTTAAGCCAAGTGAAGAGAAGCCAGACTCGCTGGATGCAAGTACTATTCCCAGGGAGGAGAAGGAGGTCTGTTCGGAGGTCCCACTCTTTGATCACCCTATCCTTGTTAGTTGAAGTTTTCAGATGCCAGGTCAGGAAAGGACACTCTTTAAAAGACACAGAAAATAATTGGTCAAGGTCACTAGTCTGTGAAAGAACCAACTGGAACCCAGGCTCCCTCACCCTGTCTTACAAATATTTAGTTTACTGAACAGTTTGTGTAGCTGTGTCATCCTTTGGCAGCCTAATAAAAGGCATGGCCATTTACCCCCAGAAGTGCAGACAGTTTCACTTTTAGTATGGGAGTGTCTTGGACTTCCTGGAGGACTTTCCATCAGTGGTTCCCTGGAGGTTCTTCAAGACCAGAGGATGGAGTGTAATTTAGCAGGATCTTGGTTTGCAGCAGCATGTCACAAAGTGCACAGATGGCGGTATAAGGGGGAAGGCACACAGGGAAAAGGGGGACAATGTGTGTAGGGGGTATCAGCAGGCAGCAGGAACTTACTATCCTGTGTTTTCTCTGTCCATGGGGGGCTGGAGTGCTGGAGATGCATCCACCTGCAACCTAGGGGTCCAGCTGAGCCAGGAAGCTCTTCAGCATCCCTCCCCTGGTCTGGCCTTTGCCCTAGAACATTCTCAAGGGCTGGTCCTCTGGGTTGGCTCCTCTGCCTTAGGGCCCCCTATCCCCAAACCCCCTTTCCCAGTTTTGGTCTCATCTGACTGGTTCATGTACACAAATACTGTTTGTCTCCTTCTCAAGTGCTGTGTAAAGTTTAAACTAGGCTGCTGGGCTCCCTAGTCTGTTTACTTTCAGTTTAGGAAGCAACTACCCACACCCTCTCCCTCTGTCCCCTCCTGGCTTCCCTTTCTGCCACCTAATAACAAGCAAAGCTATTTTCTCAACTTCGTTAATATTTAAAATTACCAGCGAAGAGCTAATTAGCCTATCTTTTTTATTCTTAGGGACTATACAAGCAATAAATAGGAACCAAGTCTGTCTTCAACATTCTCCATGATCTGGCAGGGTAATGGTTTCAATGAAACACCCTGTTTTTGAAGGTAGAAAATGTGTGTGTGTGTGTGTGTGTGTGTGTGTGTGTGTGTGTGTGTAGAAAACTCAGCATTATTTGACAAAAACAAAACAACAAACAAAAGACCAGTGCCTAATCCTGTCATGGAGGAGTTATTCCTGACTCCAAGCACTAAAATCAGAAGGGATGCAAGGGAGCTACAAAAACAAAAACAAAAACAAAAACAAACCAACAGCAACAACAAAAACAATCAAGAAACCATGGCAAATTCTCTGCCAGCATTTGCTGCTGAGAGCCTAGGACTCGATTCTTTTGGTGACAGAGGCTATCCAGGTCCAAAGTTCTTGACCCAGTCCCTGGCTTTCCCCGAGGACAATGGGTCTCTCAGGGCTTCATGCTTTCATCATCTGAGAAAACGGAGGTTAAAAAACATGTTTCTCCTGTGGTCAAGAGCTCAAAAGCCTCCACCCAGGTGGAAAAAAAAAGAAGCGCTTTGGTTAGATAAGAAAGAACATAAATGGCGAAACTCGTCGGTGTTACTAGGAGGTGCAAAGGAGAGGCTCCAAGAGCGGTTCCTGTGTGCCTCAGTGAAATTGTCACAGGCAGCCTCATGACTTACAAGTCACCCCTCAAGACCCCAGAGACACTGAAAAATCTACGGGAACATACAGAAGGCCACCTCCATGTATTTAGCTGGACATTGCCTTGGCTCTGGGAAGAACCGGCACAAATGTGGCTTCAGTGCCCGTAACAGGAGGAATTCAGGCTCACTAAGGGCTTGGAAATACCTGTGTTTCCAGCAGGCGGTTGGTCTTTGTTTCCACTTCGGGATGGCGAACTTGATTGACTCCGAACTTTCTGATAGGTTCGGATTAGAGGAAAGCTGTAATCAGCTTCGAAATTGTCTCCCTTCAACAAATATCCATCACTGGTCTGTCTCGAGTGCAGGGGAACGACCATCAAGTGTTTTCCTTTTCTATTTCCCCCCTTTTCCATTTAAGCCCTCCCTCTTGCAGAGGGCTTCTGGATTTAAGGGTGAGACTCCAAAAGCGTCCTAGGGATTTTACATCTAGCTTAAGATATATAGAATGCAGGGAACTTCCTTGCGATCCGTGGGAAAATTTAACTTTGTTTCAAACATTTCTGTGAAGGGTGTTTTGAGAGAGAGGGAAGAAAGTCCATTTTCTCTATAAAACAATTATTCATGCACGCTAAGAAGCAGTTTTAAAATTGTTTTGTATAAACAATGCTTAGATTGACTATTTTTTTCTATCTAAAATCGCTAATGGCGTGGATTACTTCCATTTTCTCCAGCAAGAACTGTGCTGTCCACTGACAGCAGGAAAATGTAAGTGACCTGTATGTAGTTGAGGTGTCCACCTGCCCAGCTCTGTGACAGTGAAGAAGTATTTTGCACTTCAGAGTTATCCACAGAAACATATTCGTAAGCTAGGCGTCGTCCTGCAGGATAAGCATGGGACTTGTTCCTGTGGAAAGAAAGATGCCAGTGCGCCCCTGTAGAGTGGTCTCTTTTCGCAATCTAGCTGCGATGGTTAAATAAATACTAGAGCCGATGAGAACATCGATAGAAATCAGCGCTAACCTTTCTGATCTCTACCTCTGAGTTACCTTCTGGAGAGCAAGCAATACGATGCATAAGAGTGAGATTCAGCTTGTTCCCTAGTCCGCGAGATAAACGGCGACTTCGCCACCGCGATCACAGCTCACACTTTCAGGTTCAGCTTCTGAAAGAAGGACCCGGCTGCAGCGAAGGCTGGCTGGAAGATTCGGGCGAAGCAGCGCTGGGAGGGGAGCGTCCGCTGGGCAGAAGAGGAGGGCACTCGGCCTGAGTGCTTTGGCCAATCAGCGTGCACAGCGCCTGACAACAGACCAATCAGAGGACGCGGAGCTCGGGGGTGGGAGTGGGTGGGTGGATAATACTAGGAAGGGGCGCGGAGGCCCGGGACTGCAGTGAGTGACTCCGCTGCGCAGGAAGCAAGCAGAGTGCGCCTGCGGCGGCGGAGTCCTGGGTCCGAGCCCCACCTTTCCTGCTCAGTTTGAGCCAGAAGTGGAAAGCGAAGAGAAGCGACCCAGGCTGCAGAAGACCGAACAGAACTTTGCAGAATTGGGGATGTGCGGGGTGAGGTTGCTGAGGACTTGACTCACCTCCTGCCTCTGTCCCTCCCCACCATCCAGTGGGCTCCCGCCTCCTGCTGTCAGATTCTTTTTCAGTTTGCGCCCGCTGTTTACAGCTCCAGAGAGAAAGACCCTAAAGCTGGATATCTTTTAACTGGGTTGCTAGCCTGGGCCTCTGAGTCTTGGTGAGTGTTATGATGTTGCAGGTCCGGAGTCAGGGAGGGCACGGGGAGCATGAATCATCATTACTGATCCTTTCTGTTTCTGGTTGCCTTGCCTTAAAGATGAAAATCAAGTTCCATCAACCCCGTGCGGCCCAAAGCACTGCTGATGCCAGACCAGCTTCCACGGCTTTATGGCCTGTGTCCCCCCACTCGCTGTGCGTGTGTGTGTGTGTGTGTGTGTGTGTGTGTGTGTGTGACCCTCTAATAATAAATAACACAGCGCTTAGGGGAAGGGGAGCGATGCAAAGACCTCTCCAGAGTCTTTGTGGTGGCGCAGGTCAATGAGGGATATTTGGGAAATGTGATTTCAAGGTCCCTTGTAATCAAAGGAAAGATAATTGTTCCATCGACAGTTTTATATCCATCATGGCCGTGCTAGTCGGCTGTGGAAAAGCTTGACAAGTGGCTTAAACCGGCGAGTGTATAAAGTCAGTGGGTGATTTGTCTGGAAAGGCCAGACAGGGCTGCGGTTAAAGGTCAGGTGCACAGACCACTTGGAATTAGTAAATTAAAACCTTCCTTGAGTTGTGGGTCTCTGAGTCCATGTGGCCTGCATTGTAGGGACCAGAAGGAAACTGGGTTAACTTCTGGCCTTTCAGAAGTTCTGGCTCAAAGAGAGTCCCTGATTGCGACGGGCGGGTCTTCGGGCCTTTCTGTCTCCCTAGAGTGCCGGCAAAGGAGAGCCTAGCGCCATGACGGAAGGGCAGGCAGTCCCGGGAGCCGGGGACTGGGAGATCGACGTGGAGAGCCTAGAGCTGGAGGAGGATGGCTGTGGGGCTCCTCTGAGGGCCGCAGCTCAGGGAGCAAGTCCTTTAGCGGCTGATGGGGACGTCGAGGAGGAGGAGGACGAAGACGAGGAGGATGAAGACGCAGAGGACGAGGGTGATGGCGAGGAGCCGGGAGCGTCCCCGGAGGTGTCAGGCCGGCCAGAGCAGCCAGGAGGGCTGGCACCCAGGCCACCGCCTGCGGCTCAGGCGCTGCCAGCCGCGGCTGCAGCTCCTGACCGCGGTGCCACTGCGGGTGGTGGCTCAGAGCCGCGCAAACTGAGCCGCACGCCCAAGTGTGCGCGCTGCCGTAACCACGGCGTGGTGTCCTGTCTCAAGGGCCACAAGCGCTTCTGTCGCTGGCGGGACTGCCAGTGCGCTAACTGCCTGCTCGTGGTGGAGCGCCAGCGTGTCATGGCCGCCCAGGTGGCGCTCCGGAGGCAGCAGGCCACCGAGGTGGGTGCCCTTAGGCCCGGAGTTCATCTCGAGGGCGCGTGCCCAACCTGAATGGGGAGTCCCTTAGCAACAGGAGAGGCAAATACCCTGCCCACGGGAGCCTGCAGGCCGGGGAGGGAAAGCTGTGGGCATCGCTGCAAAACGTGCTAGAAAAATCTCCTACTAAAACGCAAAAGGTGGTCTTGAAAATAATTAGGTGCATTTGGGACACTACGGAAAAGTCATTAAAAATATTTCAGGGTTAGTTTTGCGGGGAGGGAGTAGGGTGGTTGACAGTGCGGTGTGTCCAGTCACAGAGAATAAAGCAGCATGAGGTGCTGTCACTGTGCGCCTGTCACTTTGATTCTTAGGCAGAACTTGATGCCCATTTTCTAGAGGAGAGAAAACTTCCGGGCTGAGTAAGAGCTCCTCAGCCCAAGGCTGCTCCGGACCTCAGGTGTCCCTGGCCCCGGGTTCAACCTCTTTTCTGGTTGGGGTAGTTCCTGTTCTGCCTTGCTAGGCTTCTCCGCAGCAGCCCACTGGGTTGGGAGCAACCTGGTGGTAACCGCAGGGTTTTTAGGCTAGTGTCCCTTGAGATTCAGGGCACAAGACAAACACAGAAGACTCTCTCAGTCTCTGGCACCCCATTGTGTCTACTCCACTCGGGGAGAAACCGCCCTGTCTTTTGGTTCTCAGAGGCAGTTTCTGGGCACCTTCAGCTTAGTGGACGCATCCTGGGGAGGCAACCACTCCACCCTCCAACATAGTTCTTCCAGGCCAGATTCCTAAAGTCTCCTTGATTGTGGTCTAGATGTCTCTTTAAATGTCTTCCAGAGTGATAGCCAGAGAAAGAAGGAGTGGCCCTCCTGCCGGCTGAGCTGAGGTTAAGGGGCGCTCCTATTAATTTTCTTTGAATAAGTTTTCATAAGAAAGGCTAAACAAGTATGTTTTAGGTTGGGGAGAGTGCTAGAGGTTTGCAGATGTCCCTTCTTCCCCACTCCCACAGTTGTTTCTTGTGTTTACAGGACAAGAAGGGACTTTCCGGGAAACAGAATAATTTCGAGCGGAAAGCAGTGTACCAGAGGCAAGTCAGGGCGCCAAGTTTGCTGGCCAAAAGTATTTTAGAAGGTAAAATAACCTCAAGTTGTCCTTTGGCTTTTTAAATGGAGTTGAAGGATGCTTATCATTTTAGACGCATGGCATTTGTATTAACGCCTGGCAGGGGCCAATCTTCATTAGAAAGTTTGCCTCGGGAAAGGGAACTCATCTAGAAAATGCATGTCATATTTGCAGAGGGTTTTGCCACCACGATAATATTATCCTCTGACTAGTTAATGTGCTCCGCTGCAGCGCCTGTGAAATTCGCTCCAGTGTGAGGGACATAAAAAAATGCGCTGTCGAGTGATCCTGGAAGCTACCTTTGGGAAGGAAAACAATTAAAACTCACTCCCGTCCCACTCTCTTAGTTATTGAAGGAACTTAATGGGCCCAGTAAGCAAAGCAAGACGATACCAGCTGTGACCAAGAGTCACCTGTAGTGTTTCACTCTTTAGCGTTGTTCTGTTTTCCTCCATGGAAATCTAGATGATCGCTGCTTCCCTACACTTCCTTCCTACTGCTTTTGTCAGTCAGTCAGAATGGGTAAGGATTGGAACCAAACATGCAAACTGAAGGCTGCTGCCAGTCTAGATCTCCCTTTGCCTTCTTTTTCTACAAATCTTAGAGACACGTTAATTCTTAAAATAGTGACGATTTTCTAAAGCATTTGGATTTTAGGCATGGTGTTTATTTATTGACTGGCTAAGTAATGTGTTTGTCCATCATCATTTTCCTTAACAGTCTTTACATCTCCTTTGCCTTTATCTGAAGTTACTTTTACTTTAATCACAGCCACAGCTTAAAGAAGGGCTTCCTTCTTTGAAGTGGGCAGGTTTTTTTTTTTTTTTTTTTTTTTTTTTTTTTGTTTTGTTTTGTTTTTTTCTTTCTTCTAAGCCCTCTGAGTTTTGATCCTGGACTGTTTTAGAGATTGTGTCTCAGCCTGTGCTGTGCAAGTCTGACTTTTGTATTTAGTTGCAAAGTAGGTAAACATTTATAACCATAGGGGCCACACTGATAAATCGATGCTTTTGGCAAAGCAAGTTGAGACATTTGAGGACTCAATTCAAGTAAATAACTTTCTGGCAAACACTTAGCCTCGGAGTGGAAACAATAATTTTCAATTTTTATTTTATTTCCAAGAGAGTATAATGGGTTTGCCACTGTGTAAATACAAACATCACACTGGGTCCTTCAGAAAAATCCGCCAAGTGCTGAGTGTTTGGGAGTGGTGAAATAAATACTCCAAGCAATCTACTTATGTCCTACTGGTTTTTGGCATTTGATTTTGTCTCTTTTTATGAACTGCGCATGATTTCTTCTGCATCTTAATGCCTGCTTGTTCAGCTCTTTTGGTGTTTGGTCAACATGAATGAACTTGGGGTGGGGGAATGCTTGAGATCTGGAGCTGGAGATGCTTCTCCCCCAACCCAAGAGGTCAAGGGGAAGCCTGGCTGAATTGTTAGGTGCTGTGTGTTTGGACTCCTTAACAACTCTTCAGAGTTTTTCTAGGCTTCTCTGTGTCCTCAAGTCTTTTCTTCTTTTTCTGCTCACTAATCTTCTTTAACTTTCTTTTTCTTTTTCTCCTAGTTCTCCTTGGATTATTCTACAGCTGTAACACTGTGTACATAATGAGACATCTTTAGAAAATAAAAGTGACATCAGCTGTAGGTATAGATACCTTTTATAATAATGCAAAAAGACAAAAAAAAAAAAAGGGCAATGAAACAGAAAACAAGGTGGACAAATTTGTTCCTCCATGTCTAAGGATCTGGGAAGCATATTAAAATCTCAGTCAATATAATACACTTGCTGAGGCAAGCAAGCAGACATACCTATACCAACAAAAACAATGACCGCCGGAAGCTACCATATGGGCACTGTCCCGGAAAGGGAAACTATCTTAAATCAAGCCTATAATTTTGCTTTTTACCCTGAAATATCAGTGGTATGGAATTATAACTGAGTATCCTGTGCTTTGTGATGTTACTTTTGCCGTCTGGATTTCTTGTCAGGATGTCAATCTGTTTTCTTTGCCATACTTGCTTCTTTTAGGCTATCGCCCAATAACAGCAGAGACTTACCTGGGAGGGACCCTTCCTCTACCTCCACCTGTTAGTGACAGGATGAGGAAGAGAAGAGCCTTTGCTGACAAAGAGTTGGAGAACATTATGCTGGAGAGAGAATATAAAGAGAGGGAGATGTTGGAAACTTCTCAAGCTGCCGCCTTGTTCCTGCCCAACCGTATGGTGCCTGGACCTGAATACAATTCCTACAAAAGTGCCTACAGCCCCACTGCAGGGGAGCTGCCCAGCAAGGACTTTTGTAATTTGTTACCAGCCTGCCTGGATCTCACCATGCAGTATTCAGGATCGGGGAATATGGAACTGATTTCTTCTAATGTCAGTGTGGCCACAACTTACAGACAATATCCTCTGTCCTCACGATTTTTAGTTTGGCCCAAATGTGGTCCCATTACTGACACCCTTCTCTACCAGCAATACCTTTTAAATGCTACCACTTCTGTTCAAGCCCTGAAGCCTGGGGCCAGCTGGGACTTGAAAGGAACCCGAGTTCAGGATGGCCTTAGTGCAGAACACGACATGATGCCACCCAAACCGGAAGGCTCCCTGTTACTGCCTCATCTCCCTGAGGTCCCAACCTCAAGAACTGGCCTTCAGGCTCATCAGGTTGTCCCTGAGAGGTCGGCCTTCTCCCCACCCAGGCGGAATTTCTCTCCCATTGATATGGACTGCCTGGCCCCTCAAGGGCACATCTTAACCAAGATCAGCAAAGAAAACACCAGGCACCCTCTGCCACTTAAACATAATCCATTCCACTCAGTATTCCAGCAGACATTCAGCGACAAATCAGGCCTTGAGTTGAAAACACCATTTGTCAAAGAAGCCTTTGAAGAGACCCCAAAGAAACACAGAGAGTGTTTGGTCAAGGAGAACCAGAAGTACACATTTACCATAGACAGATGCGCAAAAGACCTCTTCGTAAGCAAACAAGTTGGAACGAAACTCTCGGCGAATGAGCCTCTGTCATTTTCTGTTGAATCTATTCTTAAGAGGCCTTCGTCTGCCATCACTCACGTCTCTCAGTGAAAGCCTGCTTACATGAAAAGCTGGGTTTCCTTCAGTCTCAGAGGGCTCTTTGTAGATGCCTTTTCTGTTTTTAAAGTTAAGATGTTTGTATAAAGAAATTTCTAATGTAAATGGTGGTTCTTAAAATCCTATGTATTTCCTCTGCATGTATCTTTTCTTATCATATGAGTATATTTAAAGACGGAAACTGCTTATTATGCAACCTGTAAGGTTATATGCTTTACACAGCACTCCAAAAAGCAATAAAAATAACATCGTCTTCTGAAGACCCAGGATTTGTTGAAGCAAACAGCTGTCTCTGTCTAGATTGAAAAGTTTGTGTCCTAGAAATGCATTCCCTATTTTTCTATAAGTCTATGTGCTTTCAAGCACTCTTAATAGTGAGCCATGAGAGAATACTATAAGCTTATAATGCTTTTGTTTGTATTATTTAAAATTTGCAGGTAGTGTGAGTCAAATTCCGAGCCCCGAATATACTGGGAATGTTCTTCTTTTTCTAAATCACATTCCTGGTGCTTCTTGAAGGAACTATATATATTATTATAGATATGTAGTATCTATCTACATCTCAATTTAACTTTTCAGGATGGAGGCAAGGGGAGCTTGTGGATAGAGTTGGGGCTTTTGCATATTGATATAACCTTAGTTTCATGTGGTTTCAAGTTGAAATAATTTGAAGGGAAATCATGTGCAACAAGATAATGTATTTGATCGTGTATTTGGAGATGGATGGGTGTGAATTCTCTCTGGGCCTGTTGCTTCCTCAGGTAGGAAGGACTCTGTACGACAAGCTTTAAGCCTGCTTTCTAGGAAAGGGACAGACCTTTGAACATTTCTAGTTGTTTTGAACACAACACATCTTTACTTTTCTGGTGATCACAGATAAGTTCCTCATATTGGGTGTGGTTCATTCAGCCCATAGTGGTGTCAGATCCCTCTTGGCTCTTGGGTTAGTTCACTAGTCCTAAAAGATTGGTGACAATTGTCATTTAGACGTAGGCCCTGTCAACTCTCAGGTGGTTCCTAACTACCTATTTGTACCTCTCACAGGTGTACCTGTGTCAAAGGCTATGAGAATAATTTTCTTCTGAGATTAAAAACATTAATTATTCCAGTGTTATCAACTGACACTTGCTGAGGCCTGCAGATGTTTATCATAGAATTCAGGTAGCTTTTCTTACCCACCATTCATAAATTCTTCCTTACTCTCTTGTTTTGCTCAACAAAATATTCAGTGTTGCTTCACAAAGTTGATGCAACTAGAGTGAGATGTTTGTAAAGATGTTAATCTTCAATGGACACCTGTGGGCTAGGGACTATTTGGGTATCTGCTTAGTAAGCACAAGGCCCTGGGTCTGATCCCCTGCACTATATAGACCAGGCTGCTCTTGTAATCCCAGCACTGGGAGGTGGGGACAGGGGGATTGGAAGTTCAAGGTTATCCTTGGCTACGTATCAACTCTGAAGCCAGTCTGGAATTCATGACACAGATGTTTCACATGCAATCCAAACACTTGGAGGTTGGAGGGCATTAATAGTCGCAACAGGGTGATGTGTTCGAAGCCATGCTGGGCTATGTAGCAAGACCCTGTCTCAAAAAACCAAAGTCACACCAAATGAAGAAAGCACCTTTACCTCACTTGTGGACCCCAAACCAAGTTCAAGCTTTAGACCTAATAAGATGGCTTAGTGGGTAAAGAAAACCAGTTCTTGCAAGTTGTCCTCTGACCTCCACATTCAAGTACATGAACATTGGACGCATGCAAGTAAATAAATAAATAAATAAATAAAATAAATAAATGTAACAAAACCTTTGAAGTTCTAAGATATCAAAGTCCCCTCACCACAGAAGACAGGGTTCAGATACTTCACCAAAAAGATTGCCATGGGGACAAGTCTGGATAACAAAACCATTTTCGGCTTGTGGAAAGGGACAGGGGTTTCAACAACATAATGGGTTTCTTGCTTGCTCTTGAAAACACTTAAAATCTACTGAAAATGTTGGTGCTACTGAGTAGTTCGTGTAAACCTCCAGGGATTCTCAGGGTTGCTGCTTAAAATTAGCATCAGTTTCAAAAACCCAAGCCCAAACCTAGGTTGATTTTCAGTTTGTACTTGTAAAATAATACTTGGTTTTGTTGAGTCAAATTTACTTACTGTTACTTTTGCAAAAGCCAGAGCAAATGGAAGCTTGCCAGGAAACAGAACAGAAAGCAGGCAGAGAGTTCAATAGCTGTTGAAGATTATCAGTAAGTGGAAAAGGTGTTTTCCAGCCAAGTCTGCCCCAATGTTAGGTGTTGGAGGTCTGCCTTTAGTCACTCAGGGTTTATCTATGCAGTCACCCATTCTTGTTTTTCTTATGACAATTTGCCTTTTTTTTTTTTTAAAGCCTTAAATGTAAACGGAACACTGAACCACACCAGAATCAAGGAAGAGAAACTCATTAGAAATAAGCCATGCTAAAATGTCTCAGTGAGAAGGGGCTCTTCATCCAAAGATGGATTTATTCTCATCCCCTCAACCCAGTATCCTGTCTCCAGGTTCTCACGTAGCGCAGGCTGTATAGCAGAGAATGACTTCGAACTTATGATCCTCCTGCCTCCATCTCCTTCCTGAATATAGGGATTAGAGGCATGTGCTACATGCCTGGTTATGCAGTGCTGGGGATGGAATGCAGGGCTTCAGGCATCTTAGGTAAACCCTATACCAACTGCAGGGAATCTTAATTTTTAATATTCATATTTGTCAATATTTCCCCTTTTGTATCCAGTAACCTATTGGGACATCTTCTTTGTCCTGTCTCTAGATCATCTTAATCCCATTAAGTGAATCCAGTTGGCTGTGGCTATTAGTGGTTTTTCTCACAATACGAATGACTGGGATTTTATTGTCCTTGAATGTTTATGAGGGAGAGTACTTTTCCTGGCAAATTTATTAGTTCTGCTGTGACGATGAGTTCTTAGAATTTTGACCTACCAAATCTACCATTAGCCACGTAATCAGAGCTTTGTTCTTGGCTGGCTGTTTGCTTTTTAAAATCATTGTGCTTCCCCGAAAGCTTCCAGTCTTCAAAGAATTCCTTTTCTGACACATTAAGCCAACTCCAGATCTACTTTGATCACTTTTGATACTCCAGGTAATGGATAGATTTGGCTTGAATTGTTTCTTGAGGACTTAAGGGCTAATAAAACATTCACCCCTTTTCTCAGTTTAACCCACAATACAATAATGCAGTTTTAATGAGTTGTTTTCCTTCCTTGTCAATTGATCAAGTGTTAGTTTTTGCTCTATTTGCACTTTTCAAAAGCTGACGACAGTGTTTCTCAAACTTTAATGGACAATTGGATTCCTTGGACCTTTGGTAAAATGCAGACTCTGATCCCGCTGGTCTGGGTGGGCCTATCATTTTTTAACAAGTTCCCAGATGTTGATGCTACTGGCTTCAGACTACATTTTCAGTAGCAAATGATTAAATTTCCATTACTTTAATGGACATTTAATGCAGTGTGCTGTGGACATTAATGCAATAATGCAATAATATTATTAGCATGAATAATTCCATATACATTAATATCGAAAAATTTCCCTTTCTAATAACCCTGTGGTGGCCTGGCTAGGTTAAGACCCAGGCAAAGGCCACAAAAACTGCAGCAATCTCTTCTGAGGTTGGGGTCCCCAATAGTCTAACCAATTCCCAGAGGTTCCACTTCATGACATTCCCACCAGCTTAACATCACCACACTGGCAGGTGATGTTTTGCCAGAGGCACATAGACCATATCCAAGCCACAGCAGTGAGAACATCTCTTTGAAATGCTCCTTGCCACTTGTTTGGCTGTAGACATTCCCCTCTCTTCACTCAGGCCCCACGGATCTATTTACCCACTTCTTGTCTTTGGAAACTGAGCTTTCTCAGGTAGGCATCCCTCCCAGATGGTACCTCCCTCAAGTGGTGCAGTATTTCCTCTCAACACTGTTGGCACCCATAGAGGCACTGATATCTGTCATACACTTTTCAGTATGACTCTGAGTGTGTTATCAGTCATTTGAACTTAAAAGCTGAATTCCAATTGTGTAAGGAAAGGCTGCAACTTGTATTAAGAAATGTTCCACAGTTCCTTAAGCAGAGTCTCCGAGGTGCTAAAGGGAAAAGAAATGGCTGAAGGTCAAGATGAAGAAATAAGAATCCACAATTCCCAGATGAATAATAAAGACATCATTTAATGTCAAGGCTGTGTTTTCAATTGAGACAAGAATTATTACAGCCCACCAGATTTCATGAATTTTGGATCAGCTTCTTTATTTCTATTCTAGGTCTACTGCTGCAGCTAGTTTCCACAACTGGGCCCCAGTTCATGGAGCTAATAGTTTCTGCAATGACTGGACTCTGTATTATATAAACTCAGGCCAGTGGCACCCACTTATATTTATTTTTATGATTATATTAAGCTTTTATCATGTTTCTCCTGCTTCACTTTTGGCTTCAAACTTGTTTGGTTTAAATATATTTAGAACATGCTAGATAGAGACGCCTGGAAATGGGTTGGCAAGATGTAGTGGTAAATGTGCAATAATAATAAGTGCATGCCTTTAGAGCCTTCTAATTTAGAAAGCATATTTGCATTTATTATCTCTGGATAATGAATGTGATGGAAAAGACCATTTTTGCTGGCCACAAAAATCCTTTAATAGGCAACCTTAGCTTGGGAACTAAGCATGTTTTTTATGATACTTGATGAGCCTAAAAATGAGCCCCTGTTTCAGGCCTGAAGTGGAAGGTATGCCCATTACGGGCCAACATATAAGACAAAGGGCCTGGCATTTGGAGACGAGAATATCCTTATATACTTTATCCACGATGACTGTTACCTTGGAGAATAGAACTTATACCTAGCAGGATGGGGATTTCCTAATGCTAAACTCTCCAGTGACACAGACCACCCACCTAGAAACACCTGGCCCACCACACCTGTCCGGCATACAAGCAGTGATTGAGAGCCTGTGGCCTTTGCATGCAAGTTGGTTCATAACAGGAAGGAGAGGACTAGAAAGAGGTTCCCAAGCCCTTTACCTAGCCTAGCCCTTTATCTACCATCAGTCTGGTAAGCTTTCTCCTTTAAACCTCTTACTTAACAGGTCTGCTCTTGGCATTTTCTTCGTTTTGAATCGAGGTGGAACCAAAGACCATATGCATTTACATTTCATGACTGCGATCAAAATTTAAGACCTTGCTGAAGAGAGAAGCAAGAGGAAAAAAGACACTTCAGATGTACTAAGTGCATTGATGATTATGGATATTATTTTC